AATTTCTAATATAACATGAATATTGTCTCAGTAAATCGCTTAAGTTGATGTATACGAAATAAAATTCCACTGTAACAGTACTCCTGCTTGGACCAGCGGTAACGTGCACGACTGAGGACCCTAAAGACGCAAGTTCGAGCCCAACTCACGCCAAGGATTTTTTCAACCACTAATTCCATTTCCATCAGAGATTAAATTCACTAATGCGTTCTAATATAATATAAGTGTATAATCCTGAAGTATTTTTAATTTTTTCGAAAATTTTAATATTTTTTCTTTCAAAATTTAGATGGGGTTCTGATGGGGATTTCCCTATTGGGGCCCAAGAGGGATTGCCCAATGAGGGCCACATAGGGCTTTGCGTTACATCCCTATGTGTGGTCCCCATTGGGCAACCCAATGGGGACCCAATAGGTCTTACATTAAAATTTCTAGTCGGGCGAATTGGTCTAAATGGTATTCAAAATCTAAGTTTGGTCAAGCCCTTCCGAATGGCACCTACCGCGATAAAATCGGTCGAGTCGTTCAAAAGTTATGAAAGGTTTACATACGGCCACACACACACACACACACACACACATACACATACACACACATACATACAGACATACGGACATCACCGCGGAAACATTCGGGGAGTCTTCCTAGGACCTCAAAACGTCAACATACGTTGAAAACTCGATTTTCGAAAAACGGGGTAAAACCTATAACTTCCCGATTTTTGAAAATTTTCAATTTTCTTAGCGGGAAGTTAAAAATTTTTGAAAACATTAGGAGAGGGTGGGGCAAGACGGCCCATCTAAGCCGGTTTTTATTTTTTGTGGCTTTCTACTATCAAGTAGATTTACTCTCGTCCAACTTTGACTCAATTCACCGGAATTTTTCCAAAGTTCTAAAAAAAATTTTTTTTTTTTCATGGCAAGGTTGTTTCTCACGTAAAAAATGTTTTTATTTCTCTCCTGAACAACTGCATTCACTTTAATATTACTCAGAAAAACTATTGTTAACATAATACCAATCGTTCCCCTACTTTTACAGAAAAAAAATTGAGTGAAATGATTTTTTCTACAAACCTATTACCAAGTACAGTACCGATAATTACATTTGTGAATATTGCGAGGAATAATTTATAATAACTCTAAATGATATAGCTCACTCCCACAGGGGGTTGTGGGGGTGAATGTCAACAATGAAAATTTAAAATTTCCGAGCTGTATAGCTCCTATAAGGTCGAAAAATTTAGTAAGAATCTTCTTTATGTGATAGAGAAATGATCTATAAGAGCGGATTTTATGATAATGTACTCCCAATATGGATACCGGGGTTGGGTGTTAACAATGAAAATTGTAAATTTCCAAGCTATAACTCCTACAGACTCCAAAATTCGGTAGGAATCTTCTATGTGTGCGATGAAGAAGTAATCTAAATGAGAATTTTACGACAACCCGACCCTATAATAAGGATTGCAGGGGTAGATATTAACAATTAAAATTCAAATTTCCTAGCTATAATTCCTACAGACTTCAAATTTGGTAGAAATGTTCGTGTATAATCTTCGTGTCAAGTTCAGCTAAGAATGGATTTTATTAATTAAATTCCAACCTCAATAGGAATTGTGGAGGCGTTAACAACGTACAATTTTTATTTCCAAACAATCGTTTCATATGCATATATTTCATATGCAGGCTGTGTCAGAGAGATAATGAGTAGAATAGAAAAAATGTTGTTGTTTATAAATTAGAACTTTTTGAAACATGAAATTTAGAACATGTCTATTAAATTTCAATAAAATTTACTAAAAATTTCTTTACAACAATCGTCTCTTTGGCAGCGGGGAAAATGTCATTGTAAAGTTTCCAAAACTTTACATTACATGTAGTTATTCAGTCAACGGACTAAGAATTCAACATAAATATTATTTTTGCTGATAACTAGGGCCAGGGACTGCTGCGAAAGTCCTGGCTCTACTGATCACATAATCGATAAATTGTTCTTATTGCGGGATCGCGGAAATGTAATAGATTAAAATGAATAAATTTTCTAAACACTTGATATGTGAAAAATAAATTTGGCTACTTATTTAAATAGAATTCGTGAAATACATATTAAATTTGTTTTCTATAAAAAATGGATGTAACTGAGAAAATTTTGAGTAACAGCAAAATTCGTTGCACTTGAAGGTAGATAGATTTCAACTTCACTTATATGAGACTTGCAATGACTTTAACTAAAACTTTCAATGCTCATTTGGAATCTGTGCAAATCAAAAAAATTAGGAACACGGTTGACCCTAAAGACCTTATCAATTGTTATTTTTCTATTAAATAATAAATTTGTTATTGTTATTTACAATTTTTTCGAATGGTCTATTTTGCCCTAAATTTATAAAATCAGCTGAAAAATATGATTTTTACTTTATTAATCATGATTAGGTTATGAAATTATAAGATAACTTCTTTTTTAGAACTTTTTAGTGATTCATTTTACCTTTGTTTTCACGCTCAAGGCTAAAAATACATCATTAACCCGAATTTGTGGTGATTAAAAAAAAAATTAGAAAACTAAATTTTTGGTCAATTTTTTGAGATGGGCCTTCTTGCCCCAGGTGGGCCGTCTTGCCCCACCCTTCCATATTCCGTGGACGTCCGGCTATCAAATGAATGTATGGAAACTGGCGTGGTCACGATAACTGCCGAAAAACTTAACTGATAGTTTTTTTTTTTTTTTTTTTTTTATACGCTTCAGTATGATCTAAAACTAAGTCTTTTCGAAGATCACGGTCAAATTCAATGTAGTTTATTCATAATTAGCAATAAACTAAAAATCTGTTAATCGTTTGTTTATCTATATCTATGTAAATAAGGATCGTTTACAATACATGCGCAGTATCTTTTCTTTTCTGAGTGGATAATGGCGCGAAAGATTTAAAAGTATTATTTTCAAATTACTAAATAATTATACAATTTTTTATTGTATTTTATTTTAATCAATTTTACTATGGAAAATGAAATTATGAGGCGTGTACTTTTGAATTTGCCAAACTTTTTCAACAAATTTTACGGTAGTTAACCGTAAATTTGATAATTTTTTAGTAAATTCTATGAAATCTACGATAAAATAAATGAATTTTTTCGTAATTTTTATTTCAAAAATGGTAATGAATAAAAAGACTGAATTATGTCCCACGATTACAGTGAATTTAACGGTAATTTTTAAAGAAAATTTTTCTCCGAGTATCAAAAAATTACATATGCACATTTCAAAAAATTTTTTCACGGGAACTTGAAAAAAAAATCTCTTATTATAAAGTTTCATCCAGACCTCTAAAAAACTAAAAATCTGATACCTATAGACGCTCGACTTGGAGGGCATCCCCTGAACTTCGCGCTTTCTTCGAGATTTAATAACGCTTGAAAATTTTCCAACTAGTTAATTTTGAGCTCTCTAAGCTCAAGGATCTTGGAAGTGTTTAAAATCAATATTTTTTTTAAATATATTTTCAAACAGCAATAGTATTTAAACTCGTCGTTCGATTTTTCAATTTCTTAACAACGTTGAACGCAATTTTTAAGCATAAAAAAATGTACAGATTCTTGAGTCAATTTGCCCAGAATTTGAGCAGTATCTAAAAAAAGAATACTTCATGTTTCATGTATAAAATTTATCTTAAATATTCTCAAGTCTTAATTGAAATTCTGAAGCGGGATCGAAAAAGTTCTACAGGCGTGCTAATTTCTATCTACAATTCAATTTGAAATTTGGATTGATCTCAAAACTAATTCATATTTGTGTCAAAATATGAATTTCAATCTTAAATTGATTTTGAATCAGAATTTTTTTTGCACGGGCATCTCAATGAACACTTTTAAACGTCGTATAGCTCATCTTGATTGGTTATTTTGTTCGTACGACAAAATACGTGCGTATGGCCAGACATCCAGCGAGAATAGTTGGAACGGGTTCCTTAAACCTCAAAACGTGGAGATGTGATGAAAACTCAAAACTTCTTATATACTTTTGAAAATTATTATTTTTAAAGCGGGAAGTAGTTAAAAAAATTTTCAATTTTCTTAGCGGGAAGTTAAAAAACTTGATTTTTAGGTCCCAGTAGAGCTACCCTTTGGCGCGTTCGCACTCAAAGCATGCAATAAAATCTTAGTGAACTCATAATATCAATCAAACAACGTAGTTTTGATTGAAAAAAAAAAGTTCAATATTACATAATAAACTTGACTGCTATAAATAATGCAGTATCATTTTAATTTACTTCGAGTGAAACTCAAAATAATGCTTATCAGAAACGTAATGTCATCAAATACATCAAATACTTTCAATCATGATAATAAGTATAAATATCACATCAAAAAATATTAGTGATTTGTTGAACGCTGAAAAATTTAATGCAGCAGCGTAAAATTTAAACATCCTAGATTATAAATAATGAAGATAGGCCAAGAATTAAATAATCTTGGAGTTTCACATAAAAAATACAATTAATATGGAAGTAATTCGACAAAACAGAAAATTTAGCAATAAATAAATAAATATAAGAGTTCATTTTTATTAAAGAATGAAAAGCTGTAAAATAAGGATAAAATAAGTATTTGTTTATTATTTTTTAACGACGATAACAATAATAATGTTGGCTTTTGTATTGTTAATTTTATAAAAGAACGATTATTTGAATGAACAGATAACGATTATGCAAGGTCATTAAGCCATGAAGTATGAGGAATCAATCTAATTTATTATATGTCACTCAGAAGCATCCTCGGTGACAAGCTGTCAGTATATAATAGCATACAATAGTTTGATCTAAGATTTGAGCATTAGAATAAAAGTAATTATAAATTTTATTAAAACAAAGATGACTTTTATCTATTATACTGTCTGAAGTAGATAAGGAGGTATGAAAACCAGTGAGACATTGAACACTGCTTCAGTTGTTAGATATATTCTTTGATTCAAACTTTAACTTAAAAAAACAGAATTCCAAAAATATGACTAAGCCTGCATGGTTAACAGCTGAATTCATAGAGCGCATTCTCAGAGATGCCGATAAAGATTATTCGATTTCTGTGACAAATATTGAGGTGAAATTAGCGACAAGCAAAGGTGATAATTACTGCAGTGAAATGTATCGAGTTTACTTTGATCTGACGCGCGATGATGTCGGAAAAAGAGTTTCTAAAAATGGCACGATTTTAGTAAAAGTTGCCTCAACTGATCAACAGATACACAAAGAATTAGTAAGGGATATAAATAAAAGATTGCTTAACAATACTAATTGATAATGATTCTGGCTGATGTGTTTCATTTTATCTCTTTCAGATCGAGGATATTAATATAGTCGATAATGAAATAAAGATGATGACTTGCACTTTGAAGGACATGGAATCAGTACTAAAAGACACTAAATTAAGTGGAAGATGTTACTATACTCAACGCAGCAATCCTCCAGTTTTAGTTCTCGAAGATTTGGCTCCTTTAGGATTCCGTATGGCTGACCGTCAAAATGGTCTTGATCTCTGTCATTCCGTTTTGGCAATACGGAGACTAGCTAAATTTCATGCGAGTTCTGTATTTGTTATTGAAAAGGTTAGTTTCGCATGACTCTGTTTGATTTGTTGATAATGTATATTAAGTTTCTGTAAGTTTTTCATAGAAACCAAAAGTCAAGAAACTTTACTCCAAAGGATTGTTCGATACTCGCTGTCCTCCGGAACTGAGTAAACTATTCGTGAATGGAGTAAAAGCAATGACGAAAGTAGCTGAGTCCTGGTCAGAAGTGAGTGAACAATGTGTAGAAAAGCTAAAAAGCTTACAAAATTCAGCTTATTCTAAAGCTTGCGAAATAGGAATGCTCAGAGAAGACGAGTTCAATGTCATCAACCACGGAGACTTTTGGGTAAACAATATGATGTTCAAGTACGATGATAAAGGAAACGTTATAGATCACATCTTTGTAAGTAATTTTGGTAAATAATTTTATGAGTTACGATTAATTGATGTTCATTTGTAGGTTGATTTCCAAATTTGCGTTTACGGAACCCCTGCATTAGACTTACAATATTACTTAAACACGAGTCCGCGTGAAGAGGTGCTTATATATAATAAAAATTTGCTAATTGAAGAGTATCAAAAAACATTGTCGTTGACAATGAAAAAAATTGGCTGCAAAACTTGCGCCCCTAGTTTGGAATATGTTAAAAAGATGTTATTGGAAAGAGAGTTCCTCGGTTTTGTGGTTGCTTCTGTAAGTCTACCGATCATGATTGTTGACAGAGATCACGCACAAGGGCTTGATGAATTGGCGAGTGATGGAGAGTTCAGCCCCAAAGCCTACAGCAATGAAGCTTATAAGATCAAAATGGTTAGGAGACTTAAAGAGTGGAATGATCTTGGAATTTTTGATTGAAAATAATACAAATAGTTATCATCTTATTATGTATACATATGTTAAATTATATTAATTCAGTAATTTAATGAGAGATTATTTAAAAGGTTATTGAAAATTGTATTTTGGTACATTGCAATAAATTTATCAATTTGATAAAGTGATCAATGAAAATTTAAATGATATAAAAACTATATATTAGTCCAAAAAAATTATTTTAAAGACAGATATTCTCTTCAAAAAAGAATAATTTCACTGTCTAAGAAGAACTTTATATTTTAAATTTAAGAAAAAGTTTCTTCATTCAAAATAGTAGAAAAAGAAAAACTATTTCTTTAGCATATTATTTTTAAACGTATTTGGGATTTTTTTGATGGTTTAAAAATAAAAGAAATTAGAGGATTGTTGATATTTTTGAAAGAAAGTGATATTTTAAATCATTGTTACTGCAAATGCATCTTAGGTTAAATGAAAAATAATTTTCTTAGATGGAAAACTTTTTGCTCTTTATTCAAAAGGTTTATCTTCTTGAATCGGGAATTAATTTCTTAGGCTAAAAAAACCTATAATATCTTAAAACAATAGTGCAATTTTAGCGAGAACGTTTTTCAATTTTTTTTTTTTTAAACAAAATTAACAAATTTTTCTAAAATTGACCTAAAATTTGACAAAGATCAGTTATTATCATAAACTTAGGTATGCTTAATATATTAGCAGATTAACCATAGCTGGTGGGCTCGAAAATGACGTAGCAAGTTGAGAGCCTATCTTTGGATACTTATAATCATCATACCAATTTAATATCTTATTCCATTGAGTGTGTGCTTGTGGATACCCAAATCCACCTAAGTTCAAGCCCTTAGTCACTTTTCTGTCCAACGTGTTTCTATAATTCATTCAACTTTTTCATTTGCTCCTCTACTTCTTTTTTGTTCATTTTTTCATATGAGTTGAGTTCTTTTACTATGCATGACTCAAGTGAATTCGAAAGCAAAGTAATATGGGTTGTGAGGAATTTTATTTTCGACAGTTGAGAATCTCTATTGCATTTATACGTTTTCAACTTGACAAATGAGATTCTTGGTTATTATTACTATTATTATTATTTTTTTTTTCAATTGAATAAATATATATTTTGAAGTATTTATTGTTACTTTTTTTTTTAATTAGTTATTAAAAATACAGTATTTTCTGTGGATAAAAATTTACTTATTTAACACAGCATTCATGTATAAAATACTGAATAGAATATTCAGATGAATGAAGATTTTTTTTAATTCAACGTCAAATATTTAATCACCTCAGACTTTAGTATATTCACTTCTAGAAATTCGTTGTCATCATTATATACATTCCTTTACTTTTACAAATCTTTCCAATACTGTAACATAGAGTTCGATATTACATGAGTCTTGAGATTCTTCCAGACTGCTTGGCGACTACAGATGACTTAAGTTTTAAATACTTTGAAACACTAGAAGCAAACCTAGGGTTGGGGAAAATAAGACTAGAAACTAGATAGGCTATAGAAAAAAAACGAAAACATTTAACACATTTGTATTTGAGACCCACATGTACTAGTCACGTGGCAAGAGCGGAATGCTTTTCCGGTTTTAATTAATGCTTCAACTTCTCAAAATGTTCGAGGTTGATTTATTTCTATTTTATGTCGACTAATATTATATTGATTTTTTTGAATTACTCAAGAGTTCTGACTTTATTTTCAGTAATCAATTATAGAAGAACGATTATTTCCAAAGTGAAATAGATTAATAAGATAGCACGATAAATTCAAATTTTTGGACTGTGAAAATATGATAATTTATAATGTATTAAAGATCATCTTGAGAAATTCAATCAATTAAAAAACTTTTTTTGATGGAGATTTAAAAAAAATTTTTTTTTTTTCACTAAAAGGCTTCTTTGGATGATTTAATAATTTTATACATTGAAAATTTACATGTAAATGACGATAAGCATCACAGTTTCAAAAAACAATTTTTTAGTAGTGTATTTTCATCAAATCACACTTTTTGATCTCAAACTCGTTATCGAGATCATTTCAAAAAAATATTGGCTAAGACGTTATTGCTTATTAAAAATTCTTGAAAATTGCTAATTTTTTAAAGATTTGAACTTCTGAAAAACAAAATATCGACTGAGATTATCAGATATACTATGTATATTTTTAATGTGGAAAATATGAAAATAATAGTAGGAAGGAAGGATTAAAAAAAAACCCAATTTTTGAAGATTTTATAAATTTTTTTAACTTTGAATGGTTCTAAAAAATTTTTTAATCAATCTTATTATCGGAGACGGCTTCTAGAATATGACAAACTTTTATATTTTTATCAAAGACTAAAAAATCATCAGATTTTAGTGTGTTTTTAATATCAGAGTAAGATTCATAAAGAACATTTTTATTTTGTAAAATTTCTAATCTCTATAGAATAATTCTCTTGAGATGTACATGTAATACGATTAAGAAAATAAAAACCAAAAATTTTGTTTAAATTTAAACAATTATTATTTATTTTTTCGATCAATCTGTATTAATGTTTATAATAAAAATAACTTAAAATTTATAGTCACGAATATTATCGATCCATCAGTGATCTTTTTAATTGCGTGCGTGAATCCTTGAAAAAATTTAAAAACGATCAGTCAACATGTTGACATTTAGGTATGTATATCAGCGAAATACATAATATCGCCCCTATGTATGTTTTTTAAAAATTTAGTGGGCGTATTTACGATTCCCATGTCGACAAGTTGAAGTATACTAAGTAACCTCACCACGCATAAATATAGGGATGTGTTCGTGCTTAAAATTTTCTTTTTAAACCCTCAAATCTTTTCATGTCGTCGAGGGGATAGATTCTGTTGAGGATATAATAAGATGTGGGCGGTACCGACAAATTACTGTTTCCTGATGGTCTTTTCCCGTAATCTTTCTCTTATAAAACTTTTTAAGCGTCGACTAATTTTCGGAAGTATATCGACGATTTATTACTCATTAAAGCTACCCGCAATGGTCCATATGCATGTTGAGTAGGGTGTTTAAAAAAATATTATAATTTTATTGAGAACTAAGCAAGTACATAGAAAAATAATAACAGTTATTATTTCTAAATTGAAATATGTGAATCATTATTATGTAAAATATTGATATTAAAACCTTTTTTTTTTTTGAGCGACTTCTTGAGGTAAATGCCGACTAAATTGCCCTGAACTGAGACTAATTTATCAGAGTAAGCATATTAGATTAACGTTTTTAGAGACTTTTTTAATCTTCGTGGGAATAAATAGAAAAAAAAACAATATCATTTATCAATCACCGATTAAAAATTTTACTAATTCAAATTCATACATTATTTACTATATATACATTCTAATATATACTATTATATACTATATATCCATTCATTACATTATTTACTTTTATAATGTGTTGGTTGCATGTCTACAATGATCAATTTTAAAACGAGATGATAAAGTTAATAATTGAATTAAATAATAAAAACTGATCATGTACAATCATATTAGAAAATTTGAGGCATTAGTATATGACAATATATAGTCTGATATATGCTACATATAATTTTTGATACGTTTTGACATCCAAATTCATGGCCTTATATAAAATTTGACCATATGCTCAAAAGTCTGATAGAAGTTTCATAGAACACTATTTTTTTGAATTCTCAAATCGCACTAACTTTTGAATCAATCAATCGATTTTGTCGCGGTTTCAGCATTTAACATAGTTTTTTGAGCTCTTTAGAAAATTTTAAAGCGCGAACTGGTCAGACTAAAAATTTCATAGAAATTCTAAAAAAAAATTTTTTTTCACAAATGATTGATTCCTGCCGGGCAACAGTCGCATTGGTCTGAAATTGTCTAGTTTCGGTTGGCTCAACAGGCATTGAAACTCGCATTTTCAATGCAGGTTATATGAAAAAATAATTAGAACGATTGCCCCTACAAGCCATCCCGGCAACTTCTCACTAATTCGAATAGAAAAACATGATTTTACAGCTACTTTGAGTTTCCCAAGTTTCAACATAGGACTCATTGAACTCGACAGTATATTTTGTATTCAGTTAGAACGTTTCTGAATTGAAATCTTATTTTTTTTGTGTCCGGAAAACTACACCGAATGCTATGAGCCACATCACAATCGATTGATTTGTTCAAGAAATATTTCAATTCTAAATTTTTAAAAAAGATGATTCTTAAATATGTCTCAAAGAAAAGAGCTCAAATCTTTGTGATACGAAATATTTTGATCGTTTTAAATTAACATTCGAATATCGCGGGAAATTCCTAGTCGGCCTGCCGAGTCCACCGTTTTCCAGATTTTTTTTATAATCTTGAGTAAAATTTGCTATTAAGTGAAATTTGCTTCCCGGTCGGATATATACTGGTATAATGATAACTTATAAATTATTATGACTATTATGATTGAACAAATATTTAGATGAGTATTCATAGACGCGTAATTATGGTGTACATACCTCAATAGCTCTCGAAGTAAGGTTGTATTATGATACATAATATTATTTAATAGCTTAATAGCATAATTAGAATAATTGTAAGAAGTTTGGAAAATCGTACACCTCTGAATTGTAGATTAATTGAAAAACGAATTGTTATCATTAGATAGATTATAAACTTATAACAAAAAATTTTTTTATTAAGAAATAAAATTGTTTAATTATGTTAATTAGTAAAATTTTCAATTGTTGGTAGGTTGATCGTGACGAATTATTTTTCGATTGTTTTACGGACTAGAATTATTTTTAATAAAAAACATTACAAGGCCAATTCGTAGATGAGAATGGCTTTTTTAGAACAGTTTCATTTTATAACATTAGATAATTCAATTACAAAAAGATTAAATTGTATTGTCATGTTTTATTGTTTACAATATACTATTATTACATTCTTAAGTAACTAAACTTTCAAATTTAAAATTGATTTCAAGAAAAAATATTTAGTGTGAAGAAAAATAAAAA